AAGCTCAATTCAAGTGATAATTGTTGCTTAAGGTGGGAGAGATCTGGGGACCTGGGAGTCAGGGAAGAGAGAAGGAATTACTTTCCATGTGTTCCAACAAGGGAACCTAGCAGATGTTATAACTGGCTCAGAAAAGAATGCAAAGTACAGACATATGTATGTATTACATAATACATATATAATATATACTATATATAATTTATACAAAATATATAAGACATTACATAATTTGTATATAATGTATACAATATATGAGATATATATGATACATGTTACATAATACAGTATATTTATGTTACATAATATATATGTCTGTTCTGTACATTCTCTCTTGAGCCAGTTTAATATCCACCTCACTCCCTCACTGATTAATGAGTAGAATAAAATCCTTAATGTATGCTCATATTATATCTGTATGAGTCATGATTTTATTTTGTTTAGTTCACACAGCTACTAAGGGGCTAAGCTGGGATTTAAGACCACGAAGCCTGGCTCCTGAACCCCAACTCTTGAACACCGCACTTTATCAAATGTGCTAATATACATAGACACACTTAGCTCACAGTAGATACTCGGTGCACAGTGGCATCTGGTGTTGCTAAGAAGCAGTGGTTCCATTTGAACAGAAGAAACCACATAAAACACAGTCTCTTACCGTTTTATAAGTGGAGGGGACAGAGGACAGTAACATCCCTGAAGTCTGGGACTCGGAACTGGGTTTGATCTTCCTGGTAATCCATCCCCTGTATTCTTCCCGTACCTGGAGGAAGAGACACATCACAAGAGGATGAATTATTCCTAGATGTGGGCCGACACAGGCATGTTCCCTGGAAGGATGGGGCCGGAAAGGGCAACTGCTATGTACCTGGCGGTTGAGCAGACAGTGAATGACGAAGATGAAGGCCCCCTGCAGGCTGTTGATGATAGTGAACAGGTAGGCCATGATATTAGCCATGGGTCCAATCTGGAAAATGCCCAACACCCAGGAGCACCCCAAGATGAAGAGCTGGGCAAAGGCCTTGAATGTCAGTAACCTAGGGGAGAAGATTTGGAGAGAGTAAAATTCTGGGCAGTGGCTGTTGTCCTCATGGACTGTGCTCCCACCACTCACCTGCCACCTTGGTGGGAATAAATGTGCAGTGGAGTCTCCAAGCCCCGAGGCAGGGACATCGAGTCCTGTTGGCATTTAAAAGGCAGTTGGCCTACAGATAACATGGCACAAGGATGTGTGGACACATATATTTAATGTAATAGTGTTGATAGTGATGAAAATGCTCGAAGGACCTACAGGTCAAGAACCGGGGACACATGGGGCGCCTGGGTGGCTCAGATGGTTAAGCGTCTGCCTTCGGCTCAGGTCATGATCCCAGGGTCCTGGGATCGAGTCCCACATCGGGCTCCTGACTCAGCAGGGAGTCTGCTTCTTCCTCTCCCTCTGCCTCTCCCACTGCTCATGCTCTCTCTCTCT